GCGGAATAATACGAGGATTTATAAAATCTGTCGTTTAAATGCAAATTTTGAGTACGTCAACAAGTGCATTTCCTGTGTTTTTTTAGTATTTTTGGTTAAAAAAAGACTCAATAAACTTAATAAGCTAAGAAAATTTATGTCTTTTGTCTGAATTTCAAAATTTTTTGTCGAATTCTGACTGTGTCCAGTGCCACATTGGATACCCCATGGATCCACCCCTGTATAACATGTATTTACAGGCTGGGAGGTCCGTCTAAGGAAAACTTATTTTGACAAGTCTACAGCTTAATGTTGAGACTAAATTTGGATGCCTTCAATGTGACTCTGAAGATGACTACCTCTAAGGTTGTCGATACGTCAGTCAACAACAACAAAAACAGTCCTTCTCAGAAATATACCAACCTGGACGATCGAAATTTACAAACATGTAACATTCTGCCTACTCGTTTAACAATTTACAACGCTTTCGATTCAATCTTATAAATGAATGATGAACTTGACTGAATGAATGACTGAGATGAAAAATCTTACGATAAACTTTGGAACTTCAACCTGCTTCATTCGCGAAAAAAAATTTAGCCATGTATCTTCTCAGATAGACTAGTTAAATTCTTCGCTTCGGTCTTTTGTCTATATTTTGCAGGAATCTCTCTTATGGGTTTTGATAGTAAAACATTTGTTATAGAGCATTTATAAAAACATATTAAAAAACATTCTAATCGTTTGCAACAATAAGGATCCCTTACACGGGTTCTACTGCAATTGGAGGATACTACCACTTGTGTCCAAGAATTCCTCAACACAAAATGTTTGCATTTATTGACAGTACTTTATGGAAATATTTATGCTGTTCGAAGTGGCTCTTAGAAGTAGCTATAACTCGTGCAGAATATTTAAAACTTTTGGTAATTCTAAGTACTTCATACGACTGCAATTTGATTTCTACAATTAAAATATGGACTGTGTCGCGTTTCCTATCAAAATCTTAGACATTTTAGTTCACGCCCTTGACAACTAGAAATCTTTGAATCTTTGATTTTCTCGCACTTTTGCATTTAAAACAAATTTTTATGTCATTTCAAATGAAATTTGGGCATTGTCAGAAATTTTCAAAGAAATTGCAAAATAATATTAGCAAACCAATTTCTGTAGAATGTTATCCTGTGTGCGTTTTACTTTGGACAGTTTTTTAAACTATGCTCTATTAATTAGCTATATACTTCATTTTCTTGTGCATTTCTGAAAAGTGTCACTAAAGCTCACCCCCCTTTTTTTGATAACCTGTAACCCTCTCCAAATACGCCGCTTCTACTTGCTTAGGTATGCTGGGTTGCCATGAGAATTTGTGATGCATATGGAGAATATTTTAGAATTTAATAAATTGAGTGTTCAAAAGTGGTGGTTTGTGGAAAATTTTAGAATTTAAGACTTTAGAACTAACAAATAAACAAACTTTGCAACATTACAAAAAAAATGACAGTGCTAAATTTTGTGATCAAAATGGGCATCCATGAATTAACTAATTACAAAGTAACTCAAAATGAAACTAATTCACGGAAACATATCATTCACTATTTATGTTAAACTTTAATAGCTAGGTACTTAAAAAATGGCAATTGCACTTTTGCACTACACATAATCTTTTGACCATATGTGTTAACTCAAATGACAGAGGACATATTTTAAACCAACAACCTAAGAATATTATAAACTATGACGTGGCGTTTACTTAAGTAATAAAAGTTTTTTTAATGTGATTGCACAGGCTTATGCCAGCCCGATGAGACCTTTGGCAACTAGAACTTGATAGCTGATCGAGAACTTGAAAGCTCTCACAAACGTCTTTAAGGTTCGCATAAGCCTGTGCAAACACAAAAAATCATTTATTTCTCTTATAAAGCAACAATGTGAAAAACATTTTACGGACAACGTTGACTTAAATGCGAAAGATGCAAAGATGTGAAAAATGTCATTAAAGATTTAATGATACGCTAAAGTGCGTTCTGCCACAAGAATACAACATGTATTACAAAAATATAGAGCAAAAATCTGTTCAATCAATCAAATAATTTATTATTGAAAAAGTACTGTTCCATATGATCTGCAGGGCATCTTGGGTCCTTGCAGCGCAATTTATTCCCCAGCCTCCCCTCACACACACATTAAAAAGGTGCTAATTTCGCCCCTGTGCATAGGCCAGTGCAAACACGAAAAATCAATTTATTTCTTTTATAAAGCAACAATAAAGCGAGACAGACAAATTGAAAACTGACGTTTAAACTTGACCCCTAAAATGCATTTATGATCGATTTGCCTTTTGATTAATTTGATTGGTTAAACTCAGTTCTGTTTCGCACAGACTCATGAAAACACAGCTATTGACCAATCAGAACAACATTACACTGTCTTTTTTTTGAAAATTGAATTCAAGTTACGTGAATGCCATTTTTATGTTGGTGTCACATAAAATATTCATTTTAAACAAATTTAAGTCAATTCTAATGCAAAAGAATGCTATTTTTTGCTAATGCTATTTTGAATTATTTTCATCACTATAAACCTACCAAAAACAACTTAGACATTGAAAGCAATGAGATTACCTTTAGAAAAATTCACACAACCAGGGCATATTATTTATCATATACTGTCGTTGTAGGAGTCGGAAATTTTGAGTTTGTTAATTATAGATGCTGGATTAACTTAGCAAACGAAAATGCATCGACTAATAAAATTATGTGAAATTAAAGCGTATTATCCATACCAAACAAGCTCAAAGGCTTACCCGCAATAAATCCTTTGAAAAAAATTTTTACAAGAAGTAAAATAAATCATATTTGATCCAAGCATGTCGTCATTATTATGAATATCTTAATAATTATGTATTATGTAGCCAAGGAAGTCTACAGCCAGGGTATCGTCGTTATTGAACATTTCCAATGCAGTCTGAAATCCCTCGAGGTATTGCTTTCCTAGATCAGCCAGCCCACTTAATGCTGGGAAAAATGGTGTGATGAAACCGATTTTCAACGTGATCTTGCCAGGTTCTCCTGTTAGAAAGGAGAGTGAACCGATAAATAACGCTACAAATAAAAAAACATTGATAATATACATATTTTTCAACATCAGATAACTCTTAATGAAGACACTAGAAGATTGGAGTATAGCAACGCAGATTTCAACATCAGATCACTCCTGAAGAAGACACTAGACTGGAGTATATAGCAACTCAAACTTTAACTTTAGATTTCTCCAAAAAAAGACATTAGAACATAAAGAAAAAACATAAGAACGTAATATCCAACCTTCATCACTTGGAGGCTGCATCGTGTCGCCAGGCCATCTTATCTTGCCGGGTTGAAGCGACAACAATGCAGCACGTTCCCAACAACCAACAGTAGCCATTTTTTGTTCTAAAAATTGTTCGTAATGATCAAAAACATTCTTGTTAGCAATGATGCTTAAAACCACATTCATCAATTAATCAATACTATGATGAAAGATGGCAATGTAGCAAAGAGCCAATCGCTTTGCTTTTGTGCCGAATCGTTTCTAGAGATCCGATCTATACTTCATGTAGCGATAAACATACATACCACGAAATTTTTGATGTCATAGTACGGTGGAGCATTTTGATTTTCGTCAAAATATGAAGGCAGACATAAACATATATCGAAGGATCTTCGTAACCTTAAAAAACACTCAGTGATATTCAAGAACAATCAAGTCAAAAGAGACGACAAAGCTGAGACTGTGGTATAATACCTGTCGCACTTTCAAAACCATTTTTCGACGTAGGAGCGTTGAAATTTTTCAACTCATCATTAACGATATCACGGAGCCTTGTGTTGCTCTCGCCCTGTCACCAGCAAAAATTTTCGAAGTGAATTATAAAATAAACACGATGAAACGCGTGTGCTGATTGGTCTAGAGCTATGTTTGAATTAGCCTGTGAAAAACGATCTGAGGATCTGAGCTCAACCAATCAAATCATTTAATCAATCAGAGAGAATTTGCAATTCAATCATGAATATGCGTTAGAAGAATATTAAAATGTTTTGTTTGTTTCGCATTATTGTTATTTTATAAAAAAAATAGAAGATGTTTTACGCGTTTGCACAGGATTATGCAAAGGACGGAGACGTTTGTGTGAACTCTCGAGCATGTGCAACCTTTGAACTTCGTTCTGGAGCTTGCACTGATCTGCTCTCGAGTTTTTTCAAATGTCTTCACGGTTTTCATAAGCTTGTGCAAACACAGTAAACATCTTTCATTTCTTAAATGAATGAGTGAATTCCGCCCTCCTGACACAATTAGAACATGTATTATTAATGAAGACAATCGACTCCATTATATGACTCAAATTATAAATCCTTGTAAATGACATTAATCCAGATCAGCGTTAAAAATGCATGAGCTTGTAGAGTTTTTTTTTGCATTTCTCACATCACTCGCATGCCTTTATGGCAACAGGTTGAAGCGATTCAACATACCGGTTGAATGATTCCTTTCCTCGACAGTTTGTCAAAAGCTCTAAAGTACGCAGATACGGCATTGAAAACTTGAAGGGAGAACAATGACATATCTGGTTCCTAACGTAAAAGAAAAAAATATACAGACCTTGAAACGTTGACTTACAAGGGAGGAGATGGATCAAAGAAAATCTGTACACCTTCTTAATTACTACAACATATAATGTTAAAATAGAGACTGTCGTTGTGACAAATCTGAAAATAGTTCTAAAGATAGCAAATACCATAGTGGATGGTAAAAGTAATATAATAAGTTGATAGTTCTTAAAAGAACTGTTTTAAGTAAAGAGCACTAACCCAATAGTTCTAATTTAAATGACACGATGCATTTCGCAAACTACTCTAAACATATAATGCAGACTCTCCCCAGTCAACCATAATGTACTAGCATCAAAGACAACTTATTACTATAACCACCAAAAGTGACAATTAACCAGACAATGACAGCACTAAAGTTTGTCAAATACTTACATCACTGTACCAAATTGCTCCAGGATATTTTCCTTCTTCTTTGGTGGTCCATTGGACAAGAAGTTCCAGGTGTTTTGAACCACTGCCAGATTTTACAGATAATCCAACCATTCCATCCAAAGCCTGTTGCAGTGCCGGTTCATTGATCAAAGATGCAGCCGTGACTTTGCTTGACGTTAGCCAAACCCACCCCTCTCCTGTCATTCCCAGTTGTCGTATTTGATGAAATGCCGTGAATGCGTCATTGGGAAGGGCGCTGATAACATTGATTCTCGTTTCACCTTTCTTATTCTACAAAAATTGTTTATTATCAACAATTTCATTCATTGAAAATTAGACCATCGACCTGAATGAGTTTCTTTTACGATGAAGAAGGCAAAAGATAAAGGAAGAAGCCTGTATAACTTTCTGTTGAACATTATGAGAGGTATCCCCTCGACTGAATCGTGCAGACTTCACAACGTTGACGCTCCTCTTTTTCACTTCTTTCTGAAACGCATTTGCGAAGTCTTGACCATCCAAATCACCAGTCGCCATCGTGCTTACCTTCAAAACAAAACATAGTCACTGGATGAACGAGTGAGCACATTCAAGGGAAAAGGCCATTTATCTCAAAATTACAAATAGTAATTTACAATAAAAATTAAAAGCAAACACATCATCTGGGTCCTAAATATTTCAAACACCTGGATCACGTGAGTAAATAAAATTTTCTGTTTAAGAATCTAATCACGTGGCATAACTAGCCAATAGCTACGGTTCTAAGATCGATCTCGGGCATCCCAGAGTTGAAAGGATATATCTGATAGCTTATATATTATGCAACATACAATTTCCGAAATTAGTACAGTGAAGGCCACAGGTACGATTGCACAATTCTTGATATAAGTATAGCGAGGCCACTGGCTTTTCAGTTTATGCCTGTAATGTGTTTCCCCCCTCTTTAAATAAAATTTCTACTACATGTAAATACCTTCTTCCATTTGTACATTTTGATGATATCGGCAAGAGCTTTCGCTTGATGGATGTCGCTCGGAACTGTACGGAAAAATCTCGGATAGTTGAGCTTATCCGAGAGCTCGGCAGCCGTAGAACCATAGGATATTTGAGTCAAGGTTCTAGCTAAAAGAAGAAAAAAGATGAGTTAATGGTTGATGACGTAACGTTAAAACGAGCAGCAAGGAGCTTGTTCAAGTCATCGCATCATGGAGAGAAACACGTGATAATTTCGTAGGTGATTTATTTGAAATGGAGCTTGCACTTTGTTTTGAAGAGTTGATTTAACACGACGGAGCAAGTTGATCCGAAAGCACCAACAACACCGACTATATCAGGATCGGCAATGAACTGCTTGGCCACTCGCAGACATTGGTCCTTGTCATTGTAACCGCTGTCTTTGACTTGACCTATGAGATGCAAAAAACAATAAAGTTGAAATGTTCTTATCAACACATATGGTTAAACATTCAAACTTACTTGTGAAGTCAGCGACTAACTCAATTTTACTGTTCTCTTTTCTAGCTCTCTTGTTCAATTCTTCCACCGATAAACGGAAAATAGAATCAAACTCTCGACCGAGGGTTGCTGTGGCCGCCAATCTGTTATCCAAAGGTGCAACAAAGCCGAGTTTTATCCTGATTTTGTCAGGATTTGTTGTATTGGTGTTAGCTCATATACCTGAAGAAGAAAGATTTGTAAAAATCAACAAGCTTGAAGTTGAAGAATAATATGGAGGATTGCAGCCAAAGACAATAACGGCAAAATAAAGAACTCTGGCTCAAAATAGAAGAGCATGGCTTCTTACTCATGTCATAAGCACTTTACACAAAATAGCAGAACACATTTATGATGACGCCAACCAAAACATGTATGACGTCACAACGAACTAAAGTCATGTTGGAAAGTGGTTTCTCAATGTTATAGCTAACACAGATTTTTCCATAGCTAATGTCACTTCAAACAAAGACCTGTTATTGGTAAAAAACATCACGAATCGTAATGGATAAACATATGTAGGTATATATGACGATATGAAAAGGTCAAAGTATGGATTTCATAGCATTATCATAGATGGATATCTTTTTAGGAAAAAAGGATTTTAACAAAACTGTACAGTTTCAGTAGCAGTCTACATGGGAATCAAATAAATACTAACTAGGTGTGGATGTTAGGAATGAAAGAAATATTCGCCTACTCCATCACTAAAGATAACCATACGTCCACAGCTACGTTGTTTCAACAAATCATTTTCACATAAAGATTTTTTCAGCATTTCTTAATGAAGTGATCAGGATAGGATTACCGCAAATATGCAAAAAGCACGAATCTCGTTAGCAAATGTCAAATAACAAAAAAATGCATTTATGATCGATTTGCAATTTGAATGATTTGATTAGTTGAATTCATATCTGTTTTGCACAGACTAATGAAAACACAGCCATTGACCAATCAGAACCACATTTCAATGTCTTTACTTATAAATTAGACTCTAATTAAGTGAATGCAAACTTTATGTTGGTTTCACATAAAATACTCACTTTAAACAAGCTTAAGTCAGTTCTAATGTAACATAAACCACTAATTGTTATCTATTTAGCTTTTAATTCACTTAATCAGCAGAGACTTTCAATAAACGCCCTTCTTGACTTAGTTAGTAGTTTGTGCATTTGAACACAAGACTATATTTGTCAAGAATATAATCATTTTTAAAAACACAGTCAAAGCAATCATATTTAAATATTTTTTAAGATTTTGTAATAATCCACCAGCATCTCATAGGCGGACACCTCCAACAAAAACACACCAAGTCATGATAACAAGGGTGTCGTTATACGGTAAGTTTGATTGCATTCATTGCAATCGAATATAAAAATGCTTTTAAAAACGTCTATGCCTGTATGGAGTAAAGAATGTTCTGAATTTTCTTCCTTGATGTTTTCCATCGTTACAAATATTTGCTGGCACGGATGAAACTATTAAACACAACAGTGGTCATTTTACGAACGTGATAAACACTATTGTACCTACGTCATTGCATTGAATATTCAATTTCATTACATGTTATTTTGCTATGACATGATTTCTTTTGCACGAAATTTTTAAACATCCATGGAAAATTTTTGTTAGGTGCTGTTGTTACAACACACATTACACAGTTGAAAGCTCGTTTTAAAGAGTACCTTCCCTGATTACGCATGTCTCCCGAATATGCGCCGCATCTAAAGTTACAAATATTTGAAGAGCGCCGCACTTTCTTATACCCGTAAATACGGTAATTGAGTTGGTTGATTGAGCTGAGATCAGTTTTTAAAGAGAAAGACAAACTTAACTGCAAACGAATCATTGTACGTATTGTTGGTATTATTTAACTGTGGGTGAAAAGTGATGACGGTAAATGTTCCTTGATTTGTGCTATAAATATTTTTAATAAAAATTATAAATATTTAAAGTAAAATAATATTGATTATAGGTCAAATGTAAACACCTAACTAAAGATAACCTTAATGACAGCAAAATTATAAATAGCTCACCTGTGTATTATGTATATAAATTTTAGTAAAAGCTGGATTCATTATCCATCAATTTGCACTTTAGCCAGGCAAACCATTTGTCTTTATAAGCACGTGAGCAGGTGTGAACACGCTGCAAGAATGTGAGTGTTTAGTGCACAAACAAATGAAACGTAATTTAAGGGAGAGCGTACGGATAATAAAGAAAGCTCATGACAATTATTGAGTCTTGACTAAACAGTGCGCACAAGAAGAAAGTTTCACTAAAGAAAAGTGGTAAAGAAATGGATAATTTTATTATCTTATTTACTTTTTTTATAGTTACTAAAAGAAAATGTCCGTGGGACTTCACTAAAGATATTTTTATAAAGGTTTTATAAATGTTCCAAATATTTTTATATATGGTGAGTATTATTTGAATTCCACTCACATGTACGCATTACGTAATTAAAGCTTAATAAACATATGCTTGATGGTAAACGTTTTCACACGTCTAATTCTCGGAAACGTGACAAAGGTTGTTAGACATTTAACTCAACATTTTCTTTAGGCAAATTTCTGCCTCTTTCATATCCAGTTTCCTGGATCGGTAAAAATACCAACTAAAAAAAAGTAAGTAACAAAATTTAGTTGTGCTTTATAACTGTTTCCGATATGTTAAAATCTACTAGGATAACTATACCATACTATCAAGAAGCTAAAATTTACATATCCTATTTTCCTGCTGTGAAAACGTGCGATACCTTGAAGTATGTGAGGTAACTTTATCAAGTAAAACTACGAATTTTTTGCAGGTAAACAAAAACCATTAGTATACGTTATGTTTGATTAAAAATTCATTGCGATTATTAGGATATACGCCTTTTCTGAAAAAATTCTTGCACATATTTTTTCGTTACAAAAAGTAATTACAGACTTTGGGATAGCCAAACTGCTCGCACCCTGAATTCCATTACTTAGTAACGGTTTAATCAGTCTTCTGAAATTTGAACTTAATTGTGTACGGTGAAAGAGGCGATTTTATTTTACTTGAGTTAATGACATGACTGAAAGTTATTTATAGTAACTATTCAATTAATTTTGCTAATAACGACAGTTACAATTTCGACTATTTCTTTTGCAATAGTTTTTATATTTCATGCTTTCGTGCCATCGGAATCAGTAGGGACAGTAACTTGTTGACAGAACGCTCAGGAGATGCTTAACGACTCGCTCTGGCCTTACAGTTCTATAACGTTTTATTTTGATTTATCCATAAGATAATCGCAAACAAAAGATAATTGCTAATCTTTTCAGCCAGGAAGGAATCCTGTTATTCCATGACCAAAGTAATTGTGATTTTAGTTCGTTGTTTAGCTATGTCATTAATAAACGGTATTGCTTGAAAAATAAGAGACTTTCCAAACGAAGTCAGCACTTTTAAAGAAACGTTTTGGCAAGAAAAAATGCCATAGCGCCTCAATTTATTCGTAATAAAAATTCCTTATTGCGCTAAGCCGAATCTTAGCAACAATCTGGTACAAAATCACAGTAAAGAATCCATATTCAGTTGTTTACCACAAAAACCAAAAATAGCTAGGAAATGACAAAAAGCAATTTTAAAAAAATGTTTGAGCCAATCGGATAAAAATGTCAAACACACAGCATTTTCTACAAAAGCTTTCAAAATTTCCACGACATATTTTACGAAAGGCATCTTCGATTAGAAGTAGGTTTTTAGTGTATTTTTTGAGATGATTCTACATCACCAGAATTTTTTGTCAGAGCCTATAAAATTTTATTAAATTTAACTCGCAGAAAAGCGAATTCCTGCTTTCAGTATATATGAAGGAATATAGGAAAATCTATACATGATATGAACGGGAAAAAAATTTGCAAATTTTGGCCAGTTTTAAAGTTTGTCCGTAAACACTACTTGTGTTTGCCAAGTCTTACCAAAATCAAACAAAAACAGTTTCATTCATTGTCATAATCATAGCATTGTTCCTTTGTAGAAACTGAAAGATGAAGCACGTCATTTTTTGCAATGAAAAGTAAAAGAACAATACAATACACTACAAAAATTAATGCACCATCTTACTTCCAATGAGTACGAGTTAGTATGCATGGAACATGATAATACAAGCAATGTTCAAAGAGATAACCATCTCTGCTAAAGAATCATTTCCAATTATGTAGTATGATTCAATAATGCAGGATGTAACAGATGCCAATGAGAACATACACATCATTCATGAATACATAAAACTGTGTGCATTATACTCAGATTCTCCCAATATGGCTGTGCTATTCACATACTGAAAGGGAAGTATCAGACAAACACAAAACGAATGCATTTTGAAAACATGTAAATGTGCCATCCTTATGTTTTTTTATGAAGTAATGGATGGTTAGCATAATATTCAGCATTCTAACGATATTCAATGCTGGTAAGGCAACATAGAGTGATAAACTTTCATCCCCTTCCATTGAAATGGAGCATGCATTGTACACACAGTTACCATCAGCCAGTATACTAAACATAAAGAATTATTTGCAATATTCAAAGAAAGAAAGTGATAAATACCAAACTTACATTTACGTTCAAGCTAAACAAAAATGATAAGAGTACTCGGTGTATATTATAAGCACATATATTGATAAATCAGACAAAAGATTATGAATAAGGTGTTTTCAGTGGAGCTTGTTGATGATGTTTGTTTAAAAACCAAATAGTGAAAAATATTTGGTAGATCTCCTTCACAGTTGAGTGTCGAAACTATATAGATAGTCTATCATAGCACTTTGACGTACATGAAAACATAGTGAAACCATATGTATAAAATAACACAAACACCAATTACTAACACATACTTCATGACTTCTATTATCATAAATAATTTTACTTAATTGAAGGACGATTTCCTTTGTAAGGTTAATGGTTAGGTTTCTTAGGTATATCATAGTTTGAAAACACTGTAAAACACACAATTAATCAATTCATCGCGATAAAAAAAATGAGATCGTTTAGAACGTTTTTAGCATTATTTCTCTATACGAAGAACAAACTGATGCTTTGAAAAATATCTTTTCTGCTTAAGTTGTCGTTGAAAATCTTCCTACTTAGTTTAGCAAATCTTTTATCTTTTAGTCCTTTCCATAAATAACTGATGTTTTATTCTGGAGCATAAGAGGGACCAGCAGTGTTGTGGTATAAAGGTAAATTTTGCTGATGGACATCGCACATTAGTTTTGGCATTTTCTTCCACATCTAAGTGGTTGCTTGCTTCTGCAATTATTACAACAGAATATGCAGATTATGTTGTAGTCCACCATAATTTCAATAAGTGTTACTCAATTACGCGTACTTTAAATTATTGCAGGAATTATTCCGTCCTAGCTATGTATAAATATTCACAGATTTGTATTACCAGGCTTGGAGTTTTAAGCTTTGCCAACATGGCATCTTTGTCAAATGCCAAAAGGCTTGGCACAATCAACAAGATTGTTGCCTGTACGAAAGCAAGAGAGTTAACAAGATAATTATCAGCCTGTAACAGGAAGTTTTTCCTTTCGTCTTTCACATTGACGTAATATGAAAATATTCATACGTTTGGATAACTATATGTTAGCACATATAAATTCGACATTGCTGAGACACGAAGATTCGAGGTGTGGCTGAAGGAAAGTCAAACAGAGCATATCTTGTGAAAATTATAGCATAAAGTTTCGTTGAGGTTAAACTAAGTTGCCTTACTGAAGAAAAGAGTGCATAGATGTACGTAAGTTTCTCTTGATATTCTGCATTATAAAGTTAAAATTAATAGGGTTACAATGTCAGTTAAAATGTGTAAAAACTTTAGTTTTTGTTAGCTATCCAAAATGAGAAAGACGATGGAGGCCTAAATGGCTGAAATTGCTGTCGGAGGATCGAGTGAACATCGTCTTCGTAAATAGAACAAAATAAAGATCAACTTTCTGTGAGCCATAAAATAAGTTCATAACGTAAACTCACATTGTAACAAAAAATGATGTGGCGTCTATTAATAACAACGTTTTATAACAACGAAATGATTAATTTTTTCATCAAAGAAAGCCGTAACTGCAAACACTGACTTTAACACCAAACATACTGATGCTTTCCTGTTTCGTTTATGAAACGCAACATACTTGTCTATGTAATTGTCAATTTATGAAATTATTTACCAAATTTTACCAATATTTTCAAAAAATAGTAACCCTGACGCTAAAAAGACCTTATCCACCGTGGATAGTGAGTATAAAGAAACAGTCAGGAGTCGGTCACTACAACAACAACCCATGAAATGGAGCAAAGTTTGTTTTGATCCTTTTTATTAGCAATATGAAGAAACGAACCTGGTAGCAAAATTTCTCTAGAATGTGGTGCAGTACTAATACCAACACTATTTCATAGAGGACTATGAAGACAACTGGTAGATGTTATTGTCTTAATTACCATAACGACATTATGAATTTATCTATTCTAGAGAATTTTTATGTAGCCGGGGAGGCTTGCAACATATAATATAAGATCTAGAAAGACCAACTTACCGAAACATTTCTTTTTGGATTTGAAAAAAATGTGTCCATTTGAGCATAGGCTTTCGTATGATCCTGGGATATTTACGCACGAGTGTTCTTTGCTACAAGGAGAAGACTGACATTCGTCGGTATCTAATGTTTTACGATAAATTGTTTTAAAATTTGTACAATACAATAAAAAACTTTATGTCTAATATAAAAATGTGTATCAGGTGAACATTTTTCATTTTATTTGTTGCTTTTGAACATTTCCTAATAGATTTTATGATAAATTAAAGAACATACATGATTGTCTTAAATTTTGCATATTACATAATTGTCTTAAATTACACAATTCTCGATTATTTATATACATAAAGAAATTATAAATAATTGTCTTGAATTTTGATATTTGATTTGAAATAATCAATATTTAGAACTTCAAACAAACTCTGTAATAAATGGAAGTACAAATCTTTTGTATACAAACCTTTTCCTAAATCATACAGACTACGGTTGTTTTTGAGCTGTAAACAAGTGGAGGCAAAAAAGTGGCCAAATTTTTTTACATTATACGTGAGTCAGTGAAAAAATCACGACTTCTTTAAGTGGAGACAAATCTACGCTGACCACTCAAACTAATTGCTGGTTACCACTCGAGCTGGTTATTTGTTACATTAAGAAAGTGACATGTTGAGTACGATGTAAATGAGACATTTATTAGTAATTCCAATGTTTCACATGTTGCATAAAAACACAAATAATACTCTCAAAATCAGTTGAAATTTTTTCTCAACATTAACAGAAGAAATTAAATAAGATCATATACTGTACATGAAGGAATAGTGCTTTACTAGCACTACAAGTACTAGTGCAAATAAAAATAGTTAAATCTGGTAATAGAATTGTTAAGGTAGCAGCTAAGGTGTAAATCATATCTGGTACCTATTTAGGTAATAGGACTATGAAGTGTCACGTGTACGAACGATATTTGCTATTTCGAATTATTCTCGTCAATAAAAAAACATATGAAAAACAACTTAGAACGTTAAAAACAATTACATTGTTAATGGGAAAAATTCTTATATCAGATGCATATCAATTATTATATTCTTTCTTTACATGGAATCAATAATTTTGAGTCTGCTAATTCAAGATGCTGAATTAACATTCAAAACGAAAGGCATTGACTAACATAATTATGTCAAATTATAGCGTATCATCCAGATTAAATACTCTCGACAATTTATTTTTAAAAAAATCCTTCGAGAAAAATTTTTTACAAGAAGTTGCATGAATCATATTTGATCAAGGAAAACAGCTGGAAAAGGTGCTAGCTTTACCAGACATGAACGTTTGCAAAAACTGCGATGCCTAAATGGGCAGAATTCAAATTGTGAGGAAAGTAAGGCCTCAATCATTACAAGCCTTTAAAACAAAGAGCACCACAACAAAGAACTGATGCCATTTCATGGCTATTGCATAAAGAAGTGTTATAAAATGACCAAACGAAAAAATATACAAAAAAACTGAAAAGGTGATTCAAAGTCAAATAAAAGTAACTTTTGGATATGTTGCATTGTACCGTAGATTATGACAAATATGTTCAATCAAGCCTTATTCTTTTCATTATCAAATTTATTATTTTCTAAGTAAGTCAACGAAGACAAACCAGTAAACAGGACTATAAACAAGCAGGTTGGCTACGCACAGGAAACTAGAACGTTGACTGCATAGGAGGGGGGGATGTTCATCTGTTTAGTTCTGCCAGACTGATTTTTTGTTTGTTAGTGATTTTAATTTCAAAAGAAATAACTCAGAAAGAGCTAAATACATGAATTTTCACAAGCGTTCTAGTTTCGGTCCTATCCATACCGGTGAATTTCCCGTCTCTTTTTAACTGCATGTTTTTTCTCTTGACAATTGGTAACGCTGTTTTTTTATGATTTTTCTCTCTTGAGCATTTTTCTAAAAATTCTGATTAATAAAATCGCCCTCTTTGTCTTTAAACGATTTTTGATAGTTTCGGCTGTTATGTTATAATTAAGGTTTGTAAGATGTCCAATCCTGAACAATTTGCACTGACGTCTGCTGCAACTTTGAAACTTATATTTCTGTGAATCTTATTCCCGATTTGACACTTTTTTAAAAATTGCGTTTGAACTTTATTTTAATTTTCAAAGTTCATGAGTAGTGAAACGTACTGGTCGTTATGTTTAGAATTTTTATTCTTACCATACAATTCTGCTTATTTGGTGAGTCAAATATTGAGTAGAGTTATCATTAACAAGTGAAATAAGTAATTATGTATCATCACTATGATAATTATTCAATCGTATTTTGTATTCATGTACATAACTTGAATCTAAGAATCTCGGTGTGTTTCACCTAATGTGCTCTGCATTAGTACGTGACCATCTAAGAATTCTTCTAAATCGGAATGGCCAAAAAAATTTGGAATTTTATTATTGGGTGCAAGCAGGCTTATTAAAAATTTATATAAGTTTAAGTGAGCTTCCTCTATAACGTTACGTATAACTATAATAACCATACTAAACGTATAACTATAGTAAACATATAACTCTCAATTATTTTGGGGATTAAAGTGAACCCCACTTCACGCATTTCACATCTTTATTGACTAAACGTCTCTAAGTATAAGCCAAGAAACTCTTTTGGCTGTTATTTTTTATTTTGGTTGAATATTAGGTTTGCATTTTTTCAGATTGGCCAAATTCTTGGTACAACATTAATATTGATTCAGGTGATAATACGTAATGATACGTCCTTGGGTAAAACTATTCTTAACGTCTTCATTAATGAATGTCGAGATCGGGGAAACACAGTGTGTTGCTTCTAAGCGTGCCAAACCCACCCGTATTTGGTATAGAAGTCAATAATTCCAAGCCTGTCAGTTATTTAACCAGGGTAAAAAGTGCAGAAAATGCCGAAGAATTTCTTATGAGAATGAAGTTATTGTAAATGTATGCTAATTACGGAAATATGTGGCTGATCATGTCATCAAGTTCAGTAGAGAAGTACTTGACAGAGTCGTGGTGATGATTTTGTCGATTCTTAATGGAGGGAGGATTAGTAAAAAAAGAATTGTAGCTATCTGGTGGATGCTTGGTGAAATTTTGTAGAATACTAAGGGTTTTTAAAAGAGTGAAAATGTTCTATTGTAGGACTAAATGGCAACATCTCAAAAATGGCACCCTAAGTTGAACAAAAAGAGCTTACAAAATCTGGACAATCATGAATACGGAACTTTTGCTCATTTATATACTTCATATATATATATATATTGCTGAACTCTTGCAAAGCTTTTGTATCTCTGTTTTACATAGCTTTATTAAAACCTATGGTAAATATCCGTGCTTTCACACTTTGCTAGTGGATTTATTTGGTGGCAGTTATTGTTTGAGGCTAAACTCGCGTTGCTTAAGATAAGTTTATTTATAACATTCAATGAAAACTTCTACATTGCAAGAAACTACAAAAACGACAGGTAAGCACATGCTGATACAGGTATTTTACATAAAAGACACTACATGGTTGGTTGATAATAATCTATCATGAGTTTAAGTTCACAATGATAGGGTGACATTATTACACAATTTACTTCACTTTCCTTATTTCATTATAAAGACGTGGCTTGGCAAACACTTTACATTACACTTATACTTATGGCAGTGTCATTTTGGCTACATAGAAAATGTTGAAAATGTTCTAATTTAACTTTACTTGTTGTCTTTGTAAATATATTTACTATGTTGTCTTCGTTGGCAATTAATTAAGCTCATTGTTCCACGCTACCCGCACTTTGCTTCAAATGAATGGTTTTTAATTTCTATGTGTTTAGACGTTCTTTTATTTTGAAAAGCTAGGTTCTTTGCTGATATTATTCCTCCCTGGTTGTGTGCTTTGATTTTTGCGCCGCTGTTCTTTTCCACTATGCTTAAATCACTGCACCCAAGCTAAAGTTGTACCCTCTGTTGTACATGCAGAAAGTAAAACAATTTCCTATTCTTTGAGGATATCAGTGATCCTTCTTCTGATATTTGAAAACCATTTCTATCACTACTCAATTTAAATGTTTACTTGTTATCTTCTTGTAAAATATTTCGCAAGTTGTCTTTGCCTGCAGAATAAGCTTATAAATACAGCGCGGCTCAATAAGCGAATTAAGCTTATTAAGCCGCGCTGTATTTCGCTTCTATTGAAATGGTATTTGATCTCCATGTGTGTTTAGACCTTTTTGTGAAAAGTTGCGTCCTTTAAATTGTTAATTTTATCGGTCCCTGGTTATTTTCAATGATTTTTGCGCTTCTGTTTCTTCCATTATGCCTGAATTGCAACATAATTGTTATAAAAATTTACGCTCTGCTTCACAAAAAGAAGTAAAACCATCAAAATCTTTCAAGAAGGCTCCATCTACAAACATAAAGTATACGTAAGGGTCTGCGAGTGATTGCTTAAGCCTTTTCCCGGTCAAGTAAATTATTTAATGTTTCATTCCAGTTTCTGCCGCTTCGTTTGAGACCATACATTGGCTTACACTGTATTTCATTTGTAAACAAACTTTTCTCCATTCTTGGTCTTATAATTTAAATAACCCATGACTTGCTCAAAATAAACATCCCTGTGAACTGAATATGCCGACCACAGTATAGATATCTTGACAGAAGGTCAACTTGTGTCGAAACCTTTGATGTTCTTTTCCCCTCACTTTTCTGAAGCAAATTCTAAGAAGACACTCTTCCAGAAAGATACTTCAGCTAGATCGCAATAGAAAAAAAAAAGATGTTTTTACAAATATATTGCTTTACACTACAAAAGCTTGGAACCTTATCTTATTGAAAAGATTATAACTCTTTGTAAAAATTGATAACTCATGGTAATCACCAAGACTAATTCGGTTGATCCGCCTCTAAATACGAATTTGCTACGTTATTTAATCTATAACATTAATTAACAGAACGCATACTGGTGTTAGCAGTTATGCTATGCTGGCTGGTTTATTTGCGACTTGAGATGGGTACCTTCCTGCATTCTCAACTTGATCGTAAAAATTTCCCTCCAATTTTTTATTTTCTTGCTCTGAATTGCAGCAGGTTTATAGTACAAAGTGATGGGCATATTTCATTATTCGT